GGCAGATGCTAAATTGCCATTAAAACCATGCTCCCACCAGATGGTGCTAAAGGGAAAAGATTCTAAATGATTAGGAAATTAAAAATTGGGACCTTAAATTTTCTTTTGCACAGAAACTGGAATAGATTAAGAAAATATGCCTTACAGGCATGAGAGGACAGCATATTTGAATGATTAATTATCAAAGCAGACCAGTTTTATGGTTGACTTTACTGAGAACCTAAGAACGTTTTGGGTTTTAAGAAGCAATTTCATGAGGAATATATTCTTCTTCACCCCTGGGATGCAGCCTACATAACTCAAAACTTCCATGCCTTAGTCATACCACTGTCCCTGCTGGGAATGCCTTTCCCGCGCCTCTGTTCACTTAATCCCACTCTCCAAGGCCTTGCTCCGCTCCCCCAGCCCTGAGTGATGCCTTCTTTCTCTAAACTCCTGGACCACTCATTGTATAATCATCTGTTGATGATCTTTTATTTTTTCCAAGTAAATGTTGATGATCTTCTCAACTGATACAAAGCCAGCTTTTATTCGGGAAACTAAAGTGACTATTTTTCCAGTGACAAAAGCAGCATCAAATCCTTTTATGAAAGTTTCCGTATCTATATATAAATTTGTATTTGGAACCACCAAGCAAAATATAGAAAAAGAACCCCCTTTACATTTACCATCTGAAATAATGCCATGCAGAACAAGGACCGCCTGGACCGTTTCTAGTCCTAAGGTCTAGGCATTAACTACTTTAATACAGTCTAGGAAATCGAGCAGATCTAACAGATGTCCACGGATATGCATCTTTGCATCAAATCAACTTCCAAAAGACTTTAGAATGTAAGCCTATTGCTCTAAGTGTGAACAAGATTGACTTAAGAATCCCAATGTACAAAACAAGTGTCCAATAGACAAGACGAGCTGATGGAGCAAGATTAAGCATCAAAATTCAATAGTAAGCGTGTGAAAGAAAGCAAAACAAAACAAAAAATAAAGAACCTTCAAGAGGTCCATGAATTTGGATTGGGGGGACAGGGGCAATGGGGGAGGGGGATATTATACTTAATTTCACTCATTTTTACTAGAAATTTAACATTTTTCGATTATGAATATAGGCAGCAAAGCACAGCACTATTAGAATTATCCAAAATTAGATTTTTATACCGTTTTACAGTTGATGCCAGTATATGAAAACATCATTTACATTTATCACTACTTCTAACTAGTGTTAGTTATTAAACTTGCCACTAGATTACCTGTGATCATAGTCTTCCTCATCTGGTGTGATGAGGCTGGACAATGATTTAGCATCTCTCCTCCAAGCTACCAAATGGTGACATCTCACATTGGTTGTCTGGACATGTACCAGTAGGAAGGTCCCAGTATTCCCCACTTCTAAGTGTTAATCAAAGACCACCCCACAGTGTAATGATCTTACACAAACTAAGCAAAAACAATCTTCATGCTGCTGTCTTTAGAAAATAAAACTTAACTTCCCCATGTTTTAAATGAATAATCTTGTTATTTAATGTATAAGAAAGCACAAAAGAAGCAAAAAAAGAAAACAAAAAAAGTAAGTAATGTATAAGAAAGCACAATTTACTGTATCACAAGTAATTTTTAAAAATAATTTGATAACTGCAATTTATTGGATAATACCAACAATTTGATAATACCCATTTCAAGTAATTGGTATTTTTTAATGACATGTATTTAATTGTAAGTACTTAAAAATATTCTGACAAGAGACCCACAACAGTAAAAAGGTTCAGAACGTCTGATATAATGTGATCTAAGTCATACATTTGTTTGTTCATTCATTCATTCATTCAGTCAGCAAGTATCTATTGAGTACCTACTATAATACCAGGTTGAACTATTTGAAATTGTTAATATTTGACTGTTTTGGACCAACCAAAATGGCAATTTCATGAGGTTCAAACTAATACATACTTGTCAGGCCCAACCTCTAAGCCCTCTAAGAAGAAAAATATTTATGGAGTAAAATAATAATCTTGAAATTAGAAAGACTGATGCTTGGAGAAGTTAAACTTTTATGAAATGAGTAAGAGGCAGCACACAGAAAGCAAGAAGTCATCGGAGGCACATGGCCGTAGGGAACTGTCCGTTTAATTATCCTGAATGAGAATGACCCAAATAGAATGTCAAGCCTCTATTATTTTCTACAACCTAACCGTGATGAGAAGCCTTTCCCCAAAGCTTTCTTAATGCTTCAATAATTTTCTCAAGTTATAATATTAAATAATGAAAAATCTTCCACTTTATAATAAGAAGTCTACTTTAAGTTCAATATTAAAGTTAGAATAGTATCTTATATGTGTACAGCGCTTTACAATTTACACAGTAATTTCATAGACATTATTCTATTTGATCCTAAACACACTCCTACAAAATAGCCTGGGAGATATTTATCCCCATTTCTCAGGTGATACAGCACATATCCAAGGGGACCTGCAGAAAATCTTAAAAACGAATCTTAACTATAAGCCAGCTTTTCTCTTTGTTCTCTGTCAAGTAATAAGGTTGAAGGCAGCAAAATAGCAAAGTGCTTCAAAATTCAGTAAAACTAGGTCTGAATCTCAATCCATCACTCACTCTCTACACATCCCTGAGAAAGTCCTTTGGTATTTGTGAGGACAAATTTAATAGAGTGGGAATAACAGCATCTTCAGATTAAATGAAATACAGTAGTTAAAGCCCATACCATCATCTATAGCAGCTGCTCTTACCACTAGCACTTACATTTTTATTATTTTGAGTCTCTTACATAAAAGAACTCAGGAAAGCACTGTTGTTCAACAGACCCAGCAAAGGCTACAGCATTCTGATGTACGGCCCCACAATGACTCTGGTAAGTCACCTGACCTCTCTACATGATCATCATTCCATCATTGTAAAGATTTTTGAGAAAGTAACATAAGCATTTCACAGTGTTTGGAGACCTACTTTTCTTCACTATCTAAAACATTTCAAAATCTCCTATGTTAGAAGCTCTGATCAGGAGTTGACTAAGAGCTACTACCTGGAACACCTAGAGCTCATTTCGGATAAGGACCAAATAATAAGATCTTTCATTAGATCCTGGGTAGAAGCTAAAACCAGTATCAGGCAATACCAAAGGAAGGACATTGGGTCGAAGGATGTGTCTAAGCAAAAGAGAACTCTTTCCCCATCCTAGAGGCAAAGGCTCCGAAGCAGGCAGGCTCTTACTTACTCTTGGCTTACCACCTCCTCATCCTCTGAGGACGATGCCGTTTCCTCCAGGTCCCGGGCCATCACGATTGGCATGTCCTTTACGGGTTGTCATGCAGTCAGCAGACGGGGGGCCTCAGAGACCTTTCTTTGCAGAGTCACTGGATCAAACAATTTGGGTGGCACAGATACCTGTAGGGAAGCCAAAGGATCTGAAACACGATGTGACGTCTGTTTGTTCATGATTGCTGGTGATCTTCCAAGCAATGAAAATGAGTATGTACCTCACCGGTGCCCAACCTCTAGGCGCTTACCTTCTATCACAGTGCCTCGCATATGCCTCCCCCAAATCAAGTTTTTTTGCCCGACCATACTGTCTGTCCACTATGTATCTGAAGAACTGTTATTAAGTTTGAGTTTTTCATTTTTCTTTTATACACAGTATCTAACATGCACCAAAAGGACAGACTTACCTAACTTTTAGGGAAGTCTGAGGTAGGAGGAGCACTGCCTGAAACATATATTCCTTGCTGCTAAAACCTGACCTGGGTTAAAAGTAAAAACTCAAGATTTAAAATACTTGTAAATATTTATTTGGCCTCTTACAACAAACACACAGATAAAATGCCGTCAGGTTTCCACTAAAAATTCAACTCCTGAACCAAAAGATTAATATATTCTCCTGAATCGAGGTCATAAATAACTGGGGGGAAAAAATGTCCTTTCAAACACTCAAAAACTACTGTCCCTTGCTAAAAATCACAAACTATGATTGAATCTCAGACATTAAAATTAGGATGTTTTCCATTTCTAACTTAAAATTTTTCCACGGGGTAAAGTATATGTTTGTTGTGCCTGAGCAAGGAATAGAAAATAGATCAAGAAAATGAAAATATTCAAATGATCATCAGAGATGACCACAATTCAGAGATAACCACTTGATGTAAATCTCTCTAAACCTCCTTTTGCTATGCATTCCTGGATACGGTGAAATTATAAACGGAACCGAAAAATGCCGGCCCCGATCATGATCCCTGCAGACCTTCCGCGGAATGGGCAGTAGCCAACCACCTCCAGAGGCGTCCTTCCGAGGACTCCCCGCAGGGTTTCTCCATCTCTCCCCAATGTTGGCATGTCCTTCCAATTAAAACTGAACGAAGCTGCCCGCAGGGCGGGGAGAGAGCGGGCAGGACATTCGCAACAAGATGAGGGACACTCGCCCTAGGGATCAGCCCATCAGCCCCACCCCTGCTCACCCCAATTCCCGGTAGGTCCGCGGATGCTCCCCGCGGGAAGGGCGCAGGCAACTCCGCCGCAGCGCGCCCGGAAACCTGCCGCAGCCCCGGGACTCCGAGCGGGAAGTGCAGCGGACCGCGCCGGCCCAGACCCGGGAGCGCACCTCCCTCGGGTGGGGGGGGCGCGCCGGCGCAGGCGTTTACCTGTCTCATCTTCCCATGGCTCGGGGCGGGCCGGCGAGGAGCGCGCTCGGCGCCTACCTCCCTCCTCCTTCCCCAGCCCGGCTCTCGGCGGCCGCGGACGGCTGCTTCCCCGGTTACTACAACAACCAACCAGCAACCGCCCGCTCGGGGCCAGTGCGCAGGCGCCCGCCACCCGGCGCCCACAACGCTCGGCTTCGGGCGCCGACGAATGTCGTCACCCCCGCGCAGCGCGGGCTCGGAGACCACGCTCAGCAGAAGAATCTCGACTTCTCTCCCCCACTTTTTCTCCCCCGCCCCTAACGGGTTGAATCCGAGACCGGAGTCCTTCCGCCACGCTCCACAGGCGGGTTCACTGTGCGGGCGAGCGGGCGGCGGACCCCTGCGGACACTTGGGCAGTGGCTACCGCTGATTGGCAGTAAAGGGGTTCACGCCCCATCTCCTGCTTGAGCAGAACCGAGACAGCCAATCCGAGCGAAGATTGACAGAAATGGCCCAATCCTGGAGCCGGGTGAGGGCGGGGGCGGGGACAAATGATTCGGGTGGACTCCAGGCTGGAGCTGTTTTGGGGGTTGCATCTTTGCTGCTGCAGCGGCTGCTGCTGGCTGGGGTTCCGTCGCCAGGTGAGAATATTCCTTGAGATTGTATTTTTTTAAGTCTCCAATTCGCACGTGAGGAAACCTAGGCTGTAAAGTGTAAATGGTTTTGGCCCAGGGTCACACAGCTACTTAATAGCCAGGATAGGAACGCCTCTCGCCTGGCTCAGGTTTTAACACCACACCTGCCTGGGCAAAAGCTGAGAATCGTGTTTGTTGGATAGGCCCTCAAGCTTTAGGAAAATGGGTCGAGGGAGTGGGAGAGCAGCTCTGAAGAATGCTCAGGCTCAGCCCTCATCAGCTACCTGTTGGGATTTCTAAGAGCTTCTGTGAAATGAAAGGCATAAGTTCTGTCAAAAAGAGGGGGCCATCCGTGCAGCTTTTCGGACCCTTGGAAGAGCCTCCTACTGAGGGAGGGCAAGAAAATAGGGAGGAGGATGGGGGTGGGGCGGGTGGGGGTGGGGGGATCTTGGCCGTGGCTGTCACTGCTTCTGATGTCCGGAGAGCCCTATTCTCTCTAGACTTGGACAAAGCCCGCTGTGTGGTCCACCTTTCCCTGAGGGATTCCTCCATTCACCCTTCCCCCTCTCTAGTTCTTTTTTTGTTCTTGGTGCTTCACACTGTCTTGAGCCTTGGCTGACTGTAATATCTGTTTCATCTGGGTAGTGTAGGACCATACTGAAACTTTTACTGCCAGAGTGACAAAGGAAGCCTGATAGTTTGTCACCACTTCAAGCCCAAGAAGTTAACCTGACAGCAGATAAACCGTGGGCCAAAAAACCATAATGAAGGTGGGAAGAAATAATTCCATTATTAAATTCTTTATCTACATGGGTTTTATTTAAGTCAAGCTCGTTGAAATCAGTGCTCAGCAAGGGTTAATCTAAGCTTTAAAAAAAAAGTACATAATCTAATGTTATTTTCTATACAACTTCAAGACAAAAGTGGGTTTGGTATGCTTGTCTCCCTCAAAAATGGAAACTTCGTCAAAATATTCTCAAACTGTGAGGCAGTATTGCAACGTAGAGTCCAACAGACCATGCTTCACATCTCAGCTTGGCCATATATTAGCTGTAAAACCTCAAGCAAATCACTTAACCGCTCTGTGCCAACCCTCATCTGTAAAATGGAAATATTAATAATGTCTACAATATATGTTAAGTGCGTGTCACAGTGCATGGCACATACAAGTGCCCAGTAACTGTTAGCTACTGTAATTTCTCCTGCAACCCAATGCCGACATTGCTGTCTCCTTCTTCATATAATTTCTTACTAGTTCTCCAGTCACCACAGTTTATTTTTAACCTTTAGATTGTTCTTCTCATTTATGGTATACCTCAGAACCAGATTAGAGAAAACCTGAGGGTGTAAATATTGCCCTCACTATTGGTTCCACTGAAATGTGTAAGGCTTCTATGCGCTTGGAAGGATCCGTCATCAACAGCCAGGGTGGTGTCTGTTAGATTTATAATTACCTTTTAGCCACTTGCCTTGTGAAAGAATGACATGAAAAACCAGTCTACAAGTAAAGATACAAGAGGGCTGATTGAGCCAAGAGAAAAGTGTTCTGATGTAGGGTAATATTTTAGAGAAATTACTCAAGTCAAAGATAACTACTGTGCCATTTATTGGAAGGTATACTGTTGATTCACCACTGCTACTATGACTAAATATTGAGACCAATTTCTGTAAGCTTATACATAAATCCACTTGGTTACTATAGTAATATTTGTACACCCCCTCTTCTCCCTTTTTTTGAATCTCCAATTTTTCCACTGGGTTTGTCATTTCTGCCTACTGCATTATTTAGCCTTTTTCACTCTGGGTAAAGGTCAGCACACTTTGGTTTAGGGAAAATATTCAAAGGCAGCGTGCTAATTCCATGAAGGTAAGAGTAGTGTATTAAGGTAACTGGGGAGGGTGAGCTTAGGGGGCTTGCAGAGGAATTTATGAAGCGATCAATAAGTGAACAAACAAGCTTAGTACAGCCCTCATGAGTGGGACCCAGGGGTGAGAGAGCTCATGGTTATGGAAGAGGAACCATCTGTTGTCTCACATCCTTTGCCTTTGTTTCCAGGGCAAGAAGCCCTCTCCGATTTGAGGGGACCATGAGCCGTTTTCTGAATGTGTTACGAAGCTGGTTGGTGATGGTGTCCATCATAGCCATGGGGAACACGCTTCAGAGCTTCCGAGACCACACCTTTCTCTATGAAAAGCTCTACACCGGCAAGCCAGACCTGGGTAAGAAGTCAAAGAACTGCATCTTTTGTACATTGTGGTTCCCAGACTAGGCTACACATCAGAATAACTTACTAGGAGATGTACAAACAAACAACGTGCAGATGCCGTTTCCCTCTCCAAACCTGTTCACTGAAACTTTCACCCCCTGGGTGGAGTCCAGAATCTATTTTTTAATAACTACCTAGGTGATTCTGATGCTGCCTATATACTAGTAGCCTTTGGTAACCACTAGAGCAGTGGTTCTCAACCTTCCTAATGCCGCGACCCTTTAATACAGTTCCTCATGTTGTGGTGACCCCCAACCATAAAATTATTTTTGTTGCTCCTTCATAACTGTAATTTTGCTACTGTTATGAATCGTAATGTAAATATCTGATATGCAGGATGTATTTTCATTGTTACAAATTGAACATAATTAAAGCATAGTGATTAATCACAAAAACAATATGTAATTATATATGTGTTTTCCGATGGTCTCAGGTGACCCCTGTGAAAGGGTCGTTCGACCCCCAAAGGGGTCCCGACCCATAGGTTGGCGACCCACAGGTTGAGAACCACTGCACTAGAGTAATAAACTTTATGGATAGCACTTGGCCCATTTTCCCCCTCAAAGCTTCCCTGAATACCTTTTCATTCATTTTACACGGCCCTAGGCAATCTGTAAAAAAGCATTACAAGGGCATCCTGGTCAGTGTGGTTCAGTTGGCTGGGCATCGTCCCATGCACCGAAGGATGGCTGTTTCCATTCCCAGTCAGGGCACATGCCCAGGTTGCAGGCTCAATCCCTGGTAGGGAGCATGCAAGGGGCAAAGAAGGAAATAGAATTACTTGGTGACTCTGTGGTGCCCCACTAGAAAGCCATAAAGAACTTTTTCACGTTATCTCAGCTGTCTTCAGAAATCACATCATGGCACACACATGGTTACATTCCATGCTGCAAATAGTTACCAATCCAAGGTTTGCCCAAACTGTGACGTAGTCCCTGAGAAGACAGCCCACGCCCACCCAGGTTTGTCTCCAAAATGAAACTGCAGAAGGCCCAGTTTCCTGAGCCTCTTTGCTGAGAGTGTTTTCACATTGCAGCTTGCCCTTCCTTGCACTGATGTGTGGGATCGTTGGAGCCGCGGCACGGTTTCACAGCAGCTGACGATTCTGTGTCACATTTATAGCTAACCCAGATTCAGGCTCTGACCTAGCTCATTGTTCTGCAACATCTGGGTATAAAATGAACCTAAGTAGGCTAAGGCTCATTTTTGAACAAAGCTCAAATATACTGGGAGTGAAGAACCTGGAAAAGGGGGCGAGACAATTCAACTTTTTCACCCTCAAATGCTGCCTTTGGATGGTCGAGGCATCCTATGTAGATTCACAGGATTTTCAGCGGTTATGTGCACTAGCCCTTTGAATTTAAGTTGAGGCAGAGAAGCCCAGGGGTCATTTGACTTGCTGAAGGGCATAGAGCTGAGCAAGAATGTGTGTGTGTGTAGGTATGTGTGTGTGCGCGTGCGCATGCATCTGCACATGCGTGTGTCCATCTGTCTGTCTCCAGCCCAGAAGTGAAGACTGCCTCATGATCTGGGGACTGTCTTGTACTGTGCTGGAATTTCACCTGATGCCTCATCTGGTTAAGGTTGGTGAAATAGTTCCCTTCCGTAGCTCACTAATTCCTCAGTCTGTTCATCAGCAAAGCTGCCAAGGTGTTTATAAAGATCGTAGCCCACTGGGGCCAACGGCCAGGTATTTGGTTGGCATATGGAATTTTGTTCACCTTACTGCTTACATCCAAAGGGCTTTGGGGTTGTGAAATTGGTATCACTGTCTGGTTTTCCAAAGGCTGGAAAATCCTAAAAGCCCAAGTAAACATGAATAGACCCTTCAGTTTTCAGTCTTGTCCCTTGAAATTTCTCTTGCTTAACAGAACAGCAAAGAAGTATCTCTGATGTCCCTGTTTTGGCATTCCAACCACTGAATGCCTTAGATTAATGGTTGTGCCTTACAATCACCGAGGGAGGGGGTTTGAGAAACCACTTTGCCCATGGCCCACCCCCAGAAAGTATGATTTCTTTGGTCTGGTATCCAGGTCTTGGTAATTGCATGAAACTTTTTCAGTTGATTCTAAGAAATATCCAGGGTCCAGAACCACTGTTGTGGTGGAATATGATCCATACTTTCAGGACAAGATATTTAATACAACAGTGTCAGAACGAAGCCACCAAGAGCAGGGTGGCCTTGGCAAACACTAGAGAAACAGTGCTTTGTCCCCCTATCATGTGTCCAGGAATCCAGCCTGGTTTGGGCTTTGTTCAAATAATACAGATCTGGATTCAGCGAAGACCTAGGGACTTAGGTCTCTGAAAAACCAGATGTAGCCATCTATGTAGGCGCCATTATTCCCGAGTTCTCTCCTACACCAGCCTTAAAAGTCTGCTGACCTCCCAGGCATCTTGTATTGCCAGACCACTCTGCAGCATCCCCTCAAACCTGTCCTGATTCAGACTCACTGGGCAGACTCACCGACACCAGGCTGGTTTCTAGGGCAGAGGTATAAGCTACTCCATCCAGGGGTTATTTGCCCGAGTGGGCTCTTTGTTGGATTTCCACTCTTGGAAGTCCCTGCCCCGCCATAGCTATTGGAGGAGGAGCTGAGCAGTTCTCATTCTGGAATCCCTTCCATTCCTTCTAGCGCCAGGCACCTCCACTCTGCCCAGCCAAAGGGGGCTCAGCTCAGCTCCCTGCCTCCCATGAACCGCCAGGGAGGTAGGAAGAGTTTGGAAGGCATCCTAACCTTCTTCTTCTCAACACTCTTGCTTTTTTCTGCTACCCAGTGAACGGCCTGCAAGCTCGGACCTTTGGGATCTGGACGCTGCTCTCATCAGTGATCCGTTGCCTCTGTGCCATCGACATCCGCAACAAGACGTATGTAAGGGAAGGAAGAGCTTTAGCATCCTTTTGTTCGAACTCGGGTGCTACGCATATCCACTGCGGTCCTCCCCTTGGAGACCTGTTCATTTCGATACATTCGCCTAGAATGTGGATGATAATAAAAGGTTCATAGGTTCCGTTCCTTCCAGGCCTAGAAAACATAAAAGGCCTAACAGGTCTTTAAGGTTTGAAAATTCTTTTGAACTGACATAGCAAATTGGCCGTGCCATGATCCAGTGGCCTGCGTCAAAGCCCCTGCTGCTTTACTGAAGAATCAGCCTTGCTTCTACTGAAGTGGTGTGCTCTTTTTAGAGCAGCCACCCACACATACCTTATTCTCACATGCCTCCTTAAGCACGAATGCACAGAACTCACAGTCCACGGGAAAAGAAACCCACAAGCAAACTGCTGTATGCTTTTGCAGAGGAGGGTGGAAGAGAACCCAGGTCTCCTCCGTGTTCTGCCTTTTGAGGCTACTCAAATAAGCTCGTGTGGAATAGTTGCAGGCAATCCTAGCCTCTTGTCTAGAGTGCTGTAGCCAGTACTGGCCACTGGAGGGGGCTCGAGCCCTGTTCCCACCAACAGTCATCACCACATCAAGGTGGAAAAGTTTGCTCAGATCAACGGGTGAGGCACCCAAACACCAACTTGACACTAAGATCTTTTTCTCTCTGATCCAGACCCTCAGCCTCTGGGGAAGAGAGGAGGGAACGGTATTTACCTTATTTTGCCTGGAGCTTTCATCTAGGTGACCTTGACTAAGCCTCCTCCTAGCAGCGGGGGAGGTAGTGATTTTCATTCCTGATTTTGCAGATCTACATATTAGACACCCAATTAATTTAATCTGAGGAAGACTGACACAAGTGGGATTTGAAGCAGGGCTCTTAGCCCTGCGATCTCAACAACTTAATTTTTTAATTTTTTTTTTTTAACTTGAAACTGTGATTTACTCGTTCTAGATTCGCATGTATTTTTGGAAACAGTGTAGTTTAGTGGAAATAGCCTGGGGCCTGAAGATTGAAAACAAGAAGATGAGCTCTTGTCTCAGTTCTATTAGTAACTAGCTCTGTAGCAGCGAGTTCATTATGTACCTTCTCTGCGTCTCGCTCTCTTCACGTATAAAACGAGACTAGTATTTCCGTTCTACCTCTCAGGGTGACTAGGAGGGAGGGAAGGTTGAGTAATCATTTTAAAAGACCTTTCCCATGATGAAGAATTGCTGATAGGTATAAGGGGTAACACCTTTTGTTTGCTGTGCTTTTGGAATGAGCATAAGCAACTCAGACTTCTCCTCACCTCTCTTGCCCATCCATTCCCCCTTCTCCCAATCAGGACAGCTGCAGATGCCGGCCTGTGCTTCCAGCCTTTTGTTCGCCTGGGACTTCTGTCTGTGTGCTTCTGATGGGCACTCTGATTCTCCCTCCCTCCCTCCCTCCCTGGAAAAGCAAAGTCCACTCCTATATGCACATATTTACTAAATGTATTCAGACATGCACAGGGAGGATACACATCACATTTAAGATATTGGTTCCTTCTGGGGAGAGGGGAGGCAGGAGAATGGGATCAGATGGGAAAAGGATACTTAGGATGCTTTTTAACTGATAACTAATATTTTATTTCTTTAAAAAAAAGTATCTGAGGCAAAAAAAAAAAAAATGTCAAAATGCTCAGTTGATGGAGCCAGGGTACTGGTTGATTAGGGACTACAGTATCTTATCTATAGTTTTTGTATGTTTAGAGGTTTCATAATTTTGAAAATTTCACAGTTAAAAAAGATATCAGCAATGCAGATGGTGGATCATCCTGTAACCTACCTCTCCCCCACCTTTTGGCCAAAGCTGCGGAACAAGTTCTCTTCCCACGACGTGGTCATCGGGTCCTCCATCTGACCGTTTTCCCAAGCGGAGACAAAATAACCCACCGACATTAGAAGGGCACCTAAAAGCCCCCCGAGGTCCTTGCGGCTCATCCCCCATTCAGGCCCCTCGTTCTGTGGCTTCCACCGTTATGAGCACAGCCCCTGGCCAAACACAGGCCAGGTGAGCTGGGATGACAGTCAAACCTGTTTGAGTAAGTGGAATATGAAAGCATGGCTGACCCAAAATTGCCTCCCCTCCTGGGATTGCTAGAATGCAGACCCTGCTTTGCTGTAGCTGGCTTACCGCCTTGCTAGGACTTGGAGATCCACTCTGGATGCCTGGACCATTCTCTCTGATTAGCAGTTAAAACCTTCCGTTTTCCCTCGTAGAGAATGGATGTGAGCAAGCAGGCCAGGTCTTTTTCAGGACCAAGTCTCCTTTGCCTTCAGCCGTGGTCACTTCCTGGGTGTTTGTGTGCAGCAGGCCTGGTCACCACTTTTCCCTCGCACGGAACAAGCAGTCCTTCAGTTCCTATTTCTGTCTGTACCTTCCTAGGCTCTACCACATCACGCTCTGGACCTTCCTCCTCGCCCTGGGGCACTTCCTCTCTGAGCTGTTTGTGTACGGGACCGCAGCTCCCACCATCGGCGTCCTGGCACCCCTGATGGTGGCAAGTAAGCATGCAACCACCCTAACTTCCCACAGGACCTGTCCCAGCCCCGGCAGACATACAAGGGGTCTGAGAGGGCACTGTGCTTATGTCCACCACTAATGTTCTCTCTGTATTTAAGGTTTGTCAATCCTGGGTATGCTCGTCGGGCTCCGGTACCTAGAAGTAGAACCAGTATCCAGACAGAAGAAGAGAAACTGAGGCCAACAGTACCACCTCCGAGACTTCGTCTTCCACCTTTGCGGTCTTCCGTCGTCCTCTCTGCGCTTTAATTTCTTCTCTTCTGCTCCATCACCAGCCCCCTTATCCACTCCTAGCCTTTTACATTCTGTTTGCTTTTATTACATTTAAACTTTTTAAAGCTATAACATGCATACAGAAAAGTATATAACATGTGTGAACATGTACGCATCATTCAAAAGTGACTCCTCTGTACTTCCATCCAGATCCAAACATCGCCAGCACCTCAGAAGCCCACCGTGCCCGTGCCACGCGCAGCCTCTCTGAGGATCGCTTTTCCAGCCTCCTGCTCTTTTCATTGTATTTCCATCCCTTGATTTGACTTGTGTGGTGGGAACAAGTGGACTGTGAAACTTAAAGCTGCTGCCTCGCCCAGAGCAGCTGCCACCAAGGGCTGCTTCAAGGGGTTGTCCACGCACGCTGGGCTCCTCTCTGCTGCTGGACCCAAGACTCCAAACCATCTGCGGGACGGGCAGTTCTCCTAAGAAGGGCTCCCCTGTGAGTGAGCCTGGCTTATGTCCTTGTGTCGACGGATGGGTTACGGTTGGAAGAGTCTGGGCTGTTTTTAGACCTTCTGGTCAGCTGTATTTGTGTAATGAATTTTGTAATAAACAGAAAAACCCTCTGCTCCGATCAGTCCTTGTACTTTGATCTCCCGTAAGCCAAGGCCACTCCTGCCCTGCTCTGGGCCCTCCCAGAGAGAATCACACTTTCTACTCATCCAGTACACTGAGTGAGTAGGACAGCTCAAAGCCCAGGCACACCAGGCTGCCTCCAGCTCCTTGAAGTCGGGTCTTCCTCCCCTCCTGCCCCACCTTCAAGATTCTGAGTTCACAACGGAACAATCAGGACCCATTCTTGTTTTCGTCCAAAGGAAGAAACAGGTTCTTGAGAAAGCACAGAACCAGGCAGCATAGCAGAAACAGCTGCGTGACGAGGAAAGGAGAACACTGGGGCCCAAAGATAACGCAATGGAGCGGACGGCGTCCTCCAAACAACCCCGGGGGCTCCACATTGACTGGGCCCTCCCACGGCATGTAGACTCAAGGCCATTCATTATGTCAACAAGTATTTATTCAACACTTACTCCACGCAGGATACTTGGGAAGGAGAAATGAATGGCCTGGGCAATGACTCCACTTCCGTGGTGGTCCTCACTTTGTAGCCAAGGAAACAGACAACAAAAAACCCAACAAGTGAAAGAACAGCTTCAGACAGTGATAAGAATTCTAGAAAGTAGATATTGTAACCAAGAAAGGGAGGAAAGTGCATAACTTACATCACCAGGAAGTAGGAGGTAAGATTTTAGTTGAGACTTGAATGTCCAGGTATCATGTGTCTTAAGATATATTACTATAGTAATATCTTAAGATATTAAGATAATATATCTTAGCCAGTTTCTCAGTGGTTAGAGCACCATGGGTTCGATTCCAGTCAAGGGCATGTACCTTGGTTGCACATTTGATCCCCGGCCCCAGTTGGGGTGTATGTGGGAGGCAACCAATAGACTTGTCTCTCATAACGATGTTTCTCTGTCTCTCCCCTTCCCTTCCACTCTCTCTTAAAAAGGGGATGGGGGAATCAATGAAAAAATATAGTCGGGTGAGGATTAACAACAACAACAAAAAAAGGTCAGAAAGGAAGGGAGGCAGGAGACTTGGGATGACGGGAAGCTTGAAGTTGACACTTAATGCATTGGAAATTCTCTATCAATTAAGGCTAAGTGAAAGGAACAAAATCTACCTTAAACTAGCTTAAATAACATTGGCTAACAAAACTGTAAAGTGAAGGGGATTATAAACTTCAGGAAGTTTGATCAGGACTCAGCTCCGTTTCTCTGATTCTTTTGGCTCTGCCTACCTGTGTTGGCTTCATCCTCAGTTTGGCTTCCTTTATGGTGCCAAAAAAAAAATGATTGCAGTAGTTTCGCTTGCATCCCCACAATACTACATCTAGAAAAACAGCTCAGTTGCTAAGAACTTGTCTTTCCCTTACCAACTACTGTCAGGAAGCAGAAAGAAAAGCAGTGATCTTAACAGGGTTGACATTTGAGTGGAGTTCCACGTGAAACCCACCTAAGGCGTGAATGAAATCATATGATTTGCATCCCCTAGGCATGCGTCATAGAAATACGATTTCAGATAAAGATCCCAAAGGATCTAAAGAGATGATGCGTGGCTCAGTGGTTGAGCGTCCACCTATGAACCAGGAAGTCACGGTTCGATTCCCAATCAGGGCACATGCCCCGGTTGTGGGCTGAATCCCCAGTGTGGCGTATACAGGAGGCAGCCAATCAATGGTTCTCATTATTGATGTTTCTATCTCCTCACTTCCTCTCTGAATCAATAAAAATATATTTTTTTAAAAAAGGAACGAGACGATGTAGAGTATTTAGCAGACACTATGACTATTCGGTTTCTTTAATAGCCCCAACTTAGCTCCTTCCTACATGATCTAAAGTAGAATTGCTAACAGAGATGGTGCCAGAATGCCACAGGCAGTGTGACTCTAGGTAAGACATGTACGAAAAACTGATCGCAGCACACCCAAGTAAGAGACAAGGTGAGCACCGCTGAGAAGGGAGGAGAGGCAGTCAGTAGGACAGTTCAGAAGGAAAATCACAACAGCAGGTGCCGGAACTGTGGCCTCTGGCTAGAGCTCGCTGGAGCCCAGCTGGGGTGACTGTAAGACAAACACCAGCCACCCTTTGAGGCAGAGCCAAAAACAACAGTGGCTCTCTCATCAGCACTCACACTCGGGTGAGCCTTCATGGGTACGCAGTACAGACAGCGGTCAGGGTCATGTGTTGGACGCTGAGTTGCTGTCTCCCACAAAGGCCGACAGTAACCTTTACAGCCTCGTCTTTAAAAAGTAACCCACTGGTGCCCTAACCGGTTTGGCTCAGTGGATAGAGCGTCGGCCTGCGGACTGAAGGGTCCCAGGTTCAAGTCCGGTCAAGGGCATGTACCTTGGTTGCAGGCACATCCCCAGAGGGGGGTGTGCAGGAGGCAGCTGATGGATGTTTCTCTCTCATCGATGTTTCTAACTCTCTATCCCTCTCCCTTCCTCTCTGTAAAAAAATCAATAAAATAAATAAAAAAAATAACCCACTGGGATGGTAACACCTCAGTAAAAAGAGAACCCCTTTTCTGGGAGGCCGCAGGAGCTGCTCCCCCAGCCCCCACGCCCCACCACATCCTCCAGCACTCAGAAATGTGCAATAACCTCAGAAGGACTGACTACCAGAAACCCACCTCTGCCCCATCAAGTGACAAGGCAGACCACTTGGAAAATCTTTTATTGCTTCACAACATCTGGTTTACAAATAGAAAAACGCAAATTATGTTTCAAAACAAAGCAACGGATTTGGTAAACCTTTTGTTAACACATTTTGAGGGAATGAAGAGTAAACACCTTTCTCCCTGTCAAAAAGGAAGGCATACTGCGCTGGCCGGACTGCTCAGTTGGTTGGAGTGTCAACCCGTACGCCAAAAGGTGGCAGGTTCAGTTCCAGGTCAGGGCCCATACCTAGGTGCTGGGGGTTCGATCCCTGGTTGGGGCACGTATGGGGGGCAAACAATTGATATTTCTCACATCGATGTTTCTCTAAAAAATGAGTGAAAACATCTCTCTTTAAAAAAAAACAGTGTAAGGCATTCTCTCCACCCTCACTCAGTCCCCCCACCCGCAGTGTGAGCTTCTTTGATTACATCCAGTGTCCGTACACACACACCCCAGCTTCTCTGGCTGTGGCCCCAGAACCCAGCTCTGTTGCCAGCACAGGCTGCTCTGGCATGCTGTGTCCAGGGCAGTAGCCACAGCAAACCAGCACATTGGTCCTGCCTGCAGCTGCTCAGTGTATAGGAGAAATTACCAAAATGTCTTCTCTTCAGGAGACGCTGCCCACCCAAGCCTATAAGTATAGCCAGATAGCAGGTTCAGCAGGAGAGGGGGTCAGCTTGGGCTGGCTGAAAGGGACTCCCCTAAGATCCGGAACATCTGATAAAAGGTTAGTGCTAGAAGGGGGCAGGTGTACAAATACCGTCCCCATCCAAGGGGGATACGCTTCATTCAAGCAGATCCGGTTCCCATGTCAAAGGCCACATTTCCTCTCATCTCAGAAGCAGCTTTGAATTTCTCAGCATGGCAGGGATCGAGGTTCATTTTCAATAAAGGTTACACAGGACAGTGGCTGGTCTCCCCTCTCTCCAGAGAAAACTAACACCTAGTTCCCCTAGGCAGCGTCCATATGAAGGTGTCAGAGGTGACAACGACACACAGAATCTCTGGGCAAGGGCTGATTTTGTAGAAAAGAACTTCCCCGGTCCCTATTGGAGCTCCCTGAGTTCCCAAATACGGGCCTGCACAAACACACCCAGCAGGTAGCCCCCAGCACCCTCACCCACCCCCGCCCGGGGGGGCTACCTTTCCCAAATCAGTTTCTCCTTCAAGGCTACAACAAAGTCTTTCTCAAGTTTTATTGATGTTTGGTTTGATCAGCTCTTAAGAAAGAGGGTTTGGAGACAGCCCCCAACTTCAGGCCAGGAGGACAGAGGCCCAGAGGACCCGCGGGTTTGTTCCGATGGTGCTTCCTCTCCCACGGAATGTTGGCGGTCGGTCCAATGACCCCAGAATGACCCTCATCCCGCGCAGCTGCCGCTCCTTAGAATCGGGCTTCTAAGGGTCTTGACACACTAGAAAAAGTTAATATCTGAATAAGCTTTCTTTCCATGATCATTTTGCAGGCTTTCTCCATGAGGGATGGAGGTGAAGAGGGAAGGCAAGGCACAAAGCCAGGACTGACTCCACGACTCACCAGCCTCTCCCAACACCAGCTCCCAGAACCTACAAGGGGAGGGGCGGGAATCGAATCTGCATTTGGTGAAAGGTGCGATTTCCCCCAACTAGACCGTGCAGGCTCTTGAGTGGGTTCCAGAAGCTAGGCACTGCCGTCCAAGCCACAAATATTCCAGCTGGTTCCCTCCACAAGCTGCCCCTGTGGAGACCCTGGTGCTGGCAGTGAGCTGTGCTGACGGAAGAGGTGGGGGTGTCCGTGTTCCCTGAGTTGCAAACCCCTTCTCGTCTCAGAGATGCTCCTCAGACAAAGTGGTGGGTGCTTTGCTGGTGACATTGTCTGCTTTCTCCACATTCTCCACCTTTTCCTCCTCCTCCTGGAGTTTCTACAAGGCAAAACAAGCAGGCAGGCCTTGGGGTGAAGCGGCACAGGGCTCCCCCCTGGCGGGAGCCACTGCCTGGCAGGGACTCTATAGTCAGCGGGAAAGACAGGAGCCAGAAGCATATTCATGAGTGAACAAAGGGAACAAGGAAAGAAGTGCCAGCCCCTGGCTCGTGAGCTCCCTACACACACACGCACACACACACACACACACACACACAAACACGCATGCACAAACGCACGCATGCACGCACGCCATCACAAGGTCATCAAAGGAAAAACCAGAAGGCCAGCTTTCTGTGATGCCATAGTCACCACAACCATCCCCCTCCAAGTGCCAGTGCCGTCCCCTCCCGCTCCCTCCGCAATCCAACCTAAACATCCCGGGCCCTGACCATCCAACAGCTGTCCAAGTGCCACGTCTGCAACTCCATCCGCATTCCTAACTATGCCCATT